GATAAATCCATGAGGTGAGGTGATTGATACATTAACTACCCTAACCTGATTATTATACAACTTATATGTGTACCAAAACATCAGTTTGTACTCCATACATATGTTTAATTACAATGTGTCAACTGAAATTTTTAAAAAAATAGTCTACCAAGTATTAAAAGAAGGCATTTATTTTCTTTTATTTTTTTCATTCTGAGTATAACATTAAGTGGATCAGATAATTTCTCTTGAGCTGTATTAAGTACTATATTCTTGCTATTATATTAGCTTTTCACAAGGTGTCACTATTCTTCAAAGAAACATAAGAACATTTACTGAAAGCAAAAAAGAGTTTCATTTTAAGATAAATCTTAAATTTACAAATCTTAATCTACTAAATGCTTGGTTGCACGTATAACATTCCTGTTACTATATGGGCAAACAATCATGGAGAAATGCCGGAAGGTGATTCACTCCAGGTCATATACTGAACCACAACCACCTTCCTCAGGGCTGGCCAGTTGGCTCAGTTGGTTAGAGTACGGTGTTATAACACCTAAGCCAAGGGTCTGGATCTCTGTACCGGCCTGCTGGAAAAAAACAAAACACCACCTTCCTCAAATATTGTTCTAACATTTCAATTACATTGAGCTAATGTAAAATGTACCCTTTAAAGCCGTCTTCCCTGTACTGGCCAGCCACCAGAAGAAAATAAATAAATAAAATAAAGCTGTCTTAATCCTTTTTTAAAATGATCTCCTTTAAGTGTCTATTTGACTATGAGAAAAACATTTTGTCAGCTGAAAGTGTTTTTCTCAGCAGTTTACTATTTTCTACCTAAATCACACTATAAAATGTAAGTAGCACTACAAAAAAAGTCTTGTAAATTACATCATCTGGAGATTTGTAAAGCTATGCAACAAATGTGTACCTTCCATTCCTTTCATCTCCTTTGACTGTATTGTGAAAGGTAATTCTGGGAAATGGAATTCTTTTCTGTCAAATCTGGAAAAATTCAGTTTCCTTTTGTTCCCATTTGCCATTTGGTCACTTTGACCTGTTTGCTCATTAAATACACCCTTCTCCGTTTGGCTCTAAACAAACAAACAAGAGTTAGTCTGAAGAAACGTGTGTAACTATTTGAGAATGACAAACCTGGAATTGCTAGTTATTTGGATGGTATATGATAGGCATAACAATTATTTTAATAACTAAGAAATAGAATAGAATTTCATTAAACATATGAACAGATCAAACTCCAATAAAAGTTTCATAAAACAAATGTTTTTAACATATTTAATATTCTGAGAATAATAGTCTTGATCATAAGAACCATAATCTTAACTTTTAATTTTCAATACTAT